ATAGCATCTCTGTATAGTATGTGTATTCACCAGGTATTCACTCTCTGTCCTAAACGGTTTGTTGGAGCTCCTGCCCCCCCCTCCCTGTGAGCCCAGTGTGCTCTGATTGGTCGGGAAGTTGCGAGGCTCGTTGCTGTGAGGAGCGGACAGGCTTCCGGGTCGGCGAGAACAAGCGAAACTCATCCTGAGCACACACAAACACTCACAGCCGAAGTAAAAACAATAAGTGTGGCTTGATATTGAGTAAGAAAAAGGTTTATAACGCTGTGAGAATGGGTCTGCGGAGAGCATTTCTCCGCGATCCCAACTTAGCAGCCCGAAAAACGTTTACCCATTTAAACAGTCGTGGTAGATACCTTGTTTGTTTTAAACATCATAAATACACAAACATCAATGAATACTTACAGGTTGTGTACCCAAATCTCCCGCTGGTCCAAACAAAGTAGGAACAGCATCGTTCTTCAGTGCCCTACGCTGTACATATCCGGCATGAATCCTGAAAGGTTTGGGAAGCTTTGTTTCGTGAAATGCTGGCAGAGGGTGTGGCCTCTGGGTATTCACACGTCAGAGTACCCAGGAAGTAAACAATGGAAAATGAGAAATCTCCAACGAGGCGTTTTGGGGCAGCATAGACTGTGTTAGAGTTTTACTCGCTACAGGGTGTACTTTGAGGGTTTTTGACTCTGCAGACCGTTTTCTTGCATAAAAACCTTCATAACACACAAGGGGACGGGTAATAACCAGAAAAGCATGACATGGGCCCTTTAAAGTAGAAATTAGGCTATATGATTATAATTGCAAATTAAAAATATACTCCTGGATTCTGTGATTGTGTCATCAAATCCCCAAAATTCCTTCTAGCTTGTCTCGTGGTGGAGATATCTTGATTTGGGGACTCGACAAAATCACTGACATACAAAGAAGCCAAATATACTTTTAAAGTCTAAAATATTCGTAGTAAACAACGTGATTTTAGGTCATATTTTGTGACTTTATAAAGACACCGGACCCAGACTTTTGCTTTGCTTATTTTCACTAAAGGTGTTTTAGTTATTTTAGCTTACTCTTGTTTCGTGTGTATAGATATGCATTGTACTGTGTGTTTCTTTCTTAGTTTAGTTTTGATTCGTAATAGACATTCTTTTTTTGTTTGAAAAGGAAAGGACTCTGAATAAGCCTTTAAGGATTCCTTCCTCCTATTTACTGTAATTTATGTGTTTCCCCTTTTATATGTATTGTTTCTCCTTTATTGGGTTAATAAACTAAACTTATGAAAAGTAATTGTGCATTTAGTGTTAACATTTTTTTAAACTCACAGCAGGATGTTACATGAGGTGTGAAGCAAGAGGAGCATGTGTCATTACATTTCTCCCTTCTTGGATTTTCCCATACTTACTTGCTCTATAAACCTCCTCCAGACCACCAGAATCACTCCTTAAACCCCCCCAAATTCTCTATAAACTAATTTCCAACATGTTTACACTGCAGCTTCTCTGCACTGTTTGCTTCAACATCCATCTGTTGTTGTAGTCTGATGAAGGGGAAGTTCAATCTGAATTTTACAGCACCTATTATTGCAGTAATTGTGTCTGAATGTGTGTCTGAAATCTTGCCTACAGTTGCTTAGATTTTGTGGTTTGACTGTTGAGTATTTGTTTTAAATCCACCATGAAAGACAAGCATAATCTCCACCAGATGGCACCATTGCCACAGATGTTCCTCCCTGAATTCAGAGGACAATTGTGGGGCGCTTTAATCAGAAGAGACTGCAAACATTTCATTGTTAGCATTGGTGGGAATCCATGAAAATCAAACCCAGAAAGCATTTGTGCTACATCGACACAAACAGACTCTAAATCCCATTGATGTCCAACAACATCAGAATGAGTTTCAGACTCCAGGATAGCAGACAATGTGGGCTCACAATGACTTCATGAGGTCAAATTCCTGGACACCTTCCCTCCTGTATGCATGGCTGCGTTATTGTACTTGGCATCCCACCTCTCAGAGCTTCCTGACCCGTCCAAAGTCCTCATATTCTTAGTCTGCTCTTTTGACCTTCTCGCTGTGTTTGTTTTGTAGTCTCCAGGAAGAAGTGCTTTTTTGTGGTTTTCCTCAGTTAGTTAGGCGTTGCTGGCATAGACGTTCGGCTTTTATTGTGATCCAGATTTGGGAATCCTTCGCCTATGAAGCCAGGGGACTCAGGGATCTAAATGTAGGGTTGTCACATTGGTTTCAAACCCAAGAGAACTACAGTGAATGTGCTTGTATGGAAAGGCACACACTCCAAGGCCGTAATCAGAGCTGTGGTTGGCTGGTCGGGGTGACGACGTGCCGTCTGTGTCTGGCAGACCTACAGACAGTCAAACTGTGGGATCTGGCTTCAGTCTCCTTCCCTGCACCACCAGCTGTGGCGCTATCTAAACAGGACCTGGTCTGAGGTATTATCCAAAGGCCCGCGGCTCTGGTTAGCATTAAGCTAGGTTGGCTCAGAGTAAAGACATTGCAACATCCAGGTCTGGACCATTTAGCAGCACCTACAACAATAGCATTTAAAAGAAGAGTAGGCTGTTCTTTTTTTGGCTCATCGGCATGAAATTACATAATAATCTTTCAGCATGTTGCAATTCAAGTGCTCTGGGAAGACTTCTGCAACTCTTCTTGGCTCTGTTTGCAGGTCTAGAAAAGCTAGCCCATAACAGGAGGATTTGGCATATGCAGGTCATTTCAGAGAGAGGCACCTATAGGATGATCTCTAAATGCAGATACACATGCAAATCCCTTGAGAGGGTGACAACCTGAATCAGAGGCAGAAATTCCTGCGAAAAAGTTTCTATTGCAGTTTTGAAACAATTGTCTATAATGCAAAGCAACCCCAAACGAATGATTTATCAAAAAGAATCCCACGGCAGCGGTTAGCAGAAGAGACTAAATTATAAGCACCATTTTCTTCTCTCATTCTGAAACACTTCGCTCATTGTACCTCGCCAGAGTCTAAATTAAACCTCAGAAGGCTTCAGGGGCCGACGGGTTTACAAAGAAAAAGAAAAGAACGGTAACTCTTATTATTATAATCTCATCGAATAATAATCGTTTTGTGAACATGTATGCATTGATATATATTCAACATTGCAATTAATTGTCCTTCTGTAAAATGATTCTGTATTTTATTGGAAAGTGTGTTGACCCACGGTGATTCTTAACACTAATGGTATTTCAATTTTTTATGAAATGAAAAGATAAAACCTAATTGGCGGATTGCTTTTAGCCCCACAAGTATTTGAAAGCCAATTAATTCAGGAATGAGTTTTACAAGAGAAGCACGTGAACTCAAAAGTGCTACAATATTCAGTATAGTTACTACGCATACTGTTGCATCCATATTATATGTAGCTTTGGACTCAATCTCACCAAATCATTATCCAAAAAAACACGAGCAGTAGAATTTGCAGTCCCTGTACAGACCGACCCATATCCAATATAGCCACCTGGTGGAGAAAGAATGAATATAACTTACACCAGATATATTAACCATGATGTCCACCAGGTGGCACTGTAGTACAATAAATAAATAATGCTCTCATCTTCACTTCAACCTCTCTCTGTGCATTAATCCAGGCAAGTGGATAGCATTGACAACATTCTTCCATCCAGAAATATATTTGAATGTATCAGTGAATTGTAAGAATCACACCAAGACTTCTTGGAAACCTAAAACCTGTTTTTAAATGATGTCCTAGTCACAACACCGGTTTCACCCGAGCCTCCCCCAGTGTTTTGTTTTGGCTGATGCACCTATGTTAAAAAACAAAAGGAAACATCCGGTTTTCTGCATTGTCCTGCTTCCACAAATTCACTTTAGAGCACCACATGTTTATTAATTGGCTACTGAAAATAGTCCTTAATAAACATTTTATATTATAATATACTTGATCTTTCTGTCCAGTCATTTAAAGGGAATGAAAAAGAGAATAAGAAATCAAATACATTCATAAAAGTTTCAGGATATTCAGATGAAATAAGAAGAATCCTATGTGAGTGAATACCAAAAACAACAAATGTATGCTTGCAATCACTTTATATTATAAGTTGCTTGCAGCGCTCATCATATGCCACTGTGGGTTCCGAGAAATCCCTGAAATATAAGCGTATGTGTGAGGAGTTCATTACAGGAATCTGAAGATGCCCGAGGCGGCTTTCTATCAACACTTGGAATTCCACCGAGCTGCAGAGGACGGCAGGAAACTGGAGATGCTCTGGAAGTTTGAGAAGTGTACACAGAGCGACAAAGCCTTTGTGGTCATCTTAGGAATGTTCCGGCATCAACACTTTTAAGACTCTTTGATGTGCACAACTGTTTTCCCTCCTTTCCTGTGACAAATACACGATCCTGGGGACGGAAAATACTTAACAAAAAGGTCAACTTTCCCAGACATTTGGTTATGCTTCACCAGAGATGGAACGTTACAGAGGACAGTTCTGTTGTAATGTCCTTTCTTTGCCTAACAGAGAACACATATTTCACTGTTATTCTGCAACTTAATATTTAACATTAGATAACTATTGCTGTTGTTGGTTTTGGCCATGACAAACTAAGAAGGCAAGAAAGTATATGCAAGAAGATTTCTAGTAAGTAAAGGTAAATAAGAGTTTGGCTGCAACAGCTTAGCAGTATAAATCACCTAGCAGAGAGTGACTGAAAGCTGTCCTCTGTGTGTAATGAGACTGATGAAGATGAAGATGATGAGGGTCAGCAGAGACAGGAGAATGGTCAGGTGATCTCCAGAGGAGGGCTACTCACAAAAGGAGAGGAGAGGCATCACTGGAATAAGTCCAGAGCCTCATTCACAAAAGTTTAAGTTGAGAGCAAATTTTCACAAAAGTAATTTTACTTGTCAAATGAGGAAGAGCACAGGTGTAAATTATGAAAATAAGTGTGGCTGTATTCCATATAGTTGCTTTGATTTAAGGGTCCTACCACCATGAATACAAAGGCATCATTAGAGTAATTAATAACAACTGTTTATTGTTTTAAATAAGCAGATTTTATGGAGTAAAAATATATACAAACAATTTTATAACATATTAGTGTCAGTCATGAGCAACTTTATCCAGTGGTACAAGCAGTAGTTATCATGTCACAATACAGTAGATTAACTCCAAACGCTTCACATTCTCTTAACTTGAAGAGGCACAGGTTGCATTAAAGCCTTCTGTGAACACCGCATACAAACATCATTTTTCCACTTTCTGGTGATTATAAAAACATGGTCTCTAGACCCTCTAGCCAAGGGACCCACACTTAGGACTGTTCTGCTTCAATTTTGTCATTTCTCTTTTAAGGTGGTCCTGAAAGTCCCCATGCTTTGTGAAACAGCTGTACTTAATGGTGGGAGTATCCCTTTAAACTTGCTGTAATTGGTAAAGAAGGCTAAAATAAAGCCAACTGTCTTATCCCTGCAGTGTTCATGAGTCATGGTGAGGGGGTTTTCTGTCCATGCTGCTTCCCTTCATGCCTGCAGAAGCTGTCCCACCAGGGCGGGGCTCCTGTCCCGGATCAGGGCTGACGTGATCTCAGCGACCCTAGACACGGACCTCTCCCAACGCTGGGTGTCCTGAGAGAGAGAGGGAGGGAGGGAGGGGAGACAGGGAGGGCCCCTCTGGTAAATGACATCAAATGACTGACTCTCGTGAGCTCAGAAGTAGAGGATCCTGCAATAAGAACAACAAATCCCAGAGCAGATTCACATTTGTTCACGTTTATCTTTCCTCCCACTAGTCACGACTCCATCTGAGTCATCCTAATGTTTGTAAACCAGCAGGACCGCCAGCAGCATCTAGTGAGTGTTAGCAGCCAGTTCAAACCGGCTGGAATTTAAAGGTTGTTCCACTTATAGTAATGGCAAAAGTAAGGAATAGGCCTGATGTGAAGGAGATACACCATCATTGGGTTGTGGTGGTCGAAGATGTACTCAGATATTTTACCTTTACCTAAGTATTCTTTTATTGTGTACTAAGTATAAGTAGCGATACCACAATGAAAAATTACTCAGGTAATAGTCCTGCCTTCAAACTCTTACTTAAGTCCAATTACAAAAGTATAAGCAATTATTATGCATAATGGTCGATTTCAGAATTATACTTAATGATTGAATTTACTAACTACAACTATTTACTAAGAAAAATGTTGCCATAACGCTGGCTGTTGTCTGGATTTAACAATCCTAAAAGGTTTGTCCTCATCGAGGAGAATCTAGTTGGAGTCAGCTGTGAAGACAAATAAACACAGCATATAATGAATAGCAATCAAAATTCATCACATTTAGTTTGATTGTAAGAATCACAAAATCTGGTGGAGGATCTTCCGTGACTTCTGTTCTTTCAAATCAACAGGCGGAAGCAATTTCCCAAAGGAGGGGGCGATAAACAACTCCACAGAATTAAACACCACAAATGTGTGTTGATTTCAAGTCCTCTGAAGCTTGTGAACCAATAAGGCCTACAGACAGATCTATGCTAAACCACACGGAGAGACCAAACGTTCTCTCATTCAGTCAGTGCGAACTCCAGTGTTGTGGTTGTTTTTGCTTTGGTGATTCCTCTTTTCTGTATCAATTTCTTATTATTTTTGTTCTGGAAACTGCCTGCAAAATGCACTTTTAATGATTTTCACTCCCTAACATTCCTCAGTCTACGGCAACTTTAGTTTCTTGAAGCAAAAGGAGCTAACTTGTTCCTCATGTAGATTTATGCTTCATGCTCTACCTGGTCTTCTACAGTCATCCATCGTGGAATTTAAAAAAGCTTATGACACTGCTTTTGATGTAGCAGCATGCATGAAGGAGAACATGTAAAAAAAATCATTTCTAGAAACGTTTAAAAAGGTATATTATATACAACTTAGAACACAAATAAGGATGTTTAACTACAGAAAAGAGACAAAATAAAGGCCTGGGACAGTTTGGTTCCTGCAATAAGAATAAGTCTATTGTATATCCTTGATCTTACTTTTATAGTTTTGGCCAACCTGATTGGTTGCTAAGCCCTACCTTCCCTTAGTTACTGTTGTTATGCCTGCCAATATTTTAGTTTTTCACAGCACGCGATACATTTCAAATCAATATGGTGGCATGTTCACTATTGAAATGAAATGTTTGAATCTGCACATAAAATGATGTAAGAACAGCAGTTCAAATGTGATGCAGGTAGACTGAACTGTGAGGGATTTTTCAGCAGACAGTTCAGGTAATCATTTGACAGTTTTTTTCTCTTTCTTAACCACCTGTACAACTTTTCTTTTGTCGCAATATTTTCATAATCTTACATTTTTGGCAAAAGACTTCAGGGCCAAGTCATACAGGAAGTGCGTACGTGTTACTAATGACATTAACGATTGTTCTTTTCAGTGTTGAAGTAAGCCGAGACAGTGAGCAAGGATTCACAACTGCAACACCTAATATGAAGTAAGCTTTTATGACTTGTTCTGCCAAGAGAAATCTAAATGTCTGTTGTGAAAAAGGCCTTCAACTTTGGAAAGTATAATGTAATCAAACAGACAAAAACAAAGGATCCAAGTTGTAATAAATCGTAATATCCTTTAAAACAGAATTGGATCTGAAGTGAATTAATTTATTGTCAAATAACACTTTCTGTTTTGGGTTTATAACCAACTTCATCAGCCAGCTCTCAAAGGGCAGGTTAGCTTGGAGGGAAATCAAACTATTTAAGATGGCTTCGCACAAAGCTGTTCCTAGCATCCACAAAGAGGAACATAAAACTATTTTAAAAACATTTCCCACGACAAAAAAAACATGATTTGTGATCTGGAACTTCCCATTTAACATATATTCAGATCTGGCTTCCAAAGGCATTTAGCGTTACAACTACACTATGTGTCAGCAGTTAAACACATTTGGAGCCGAGTGAAAGATCAACAGGAGAAACATCAGCTTTCTTTTGCTGTGTTCTTTATCTCAATGTCTAGCTTCACCGGCCAGCTCCTCTTAGCACAGTTTGTTCTGGATGTGGACGGGAATGTGACGAGGTGTGAGAGCGATGAGCGTGGAATCGGGCCTGACCGTGGTTAATGGGAGCGAGGGACCCGGCATCAGAGCTCCGAGTGCTCCTCTCTAATCAAAACCAGCGAGGGGGGAGTCAGATGTCATGGATTCTCCACACTAAACCAACTGAAGGGGGGATTGGGGTACAGATCAGCAACTCCAACCTCCTCATTGATTAAAGAGAGTAAAAAAAGAAATGATGAAATCCAAATATGATCATTTGGAATGAGCTCCAGAGGCATTCTGTGTCAGCTTCAACAATCTTTTCTTAATATGCTTTTAGATCTAAGATTGGATAAATCTTTGAAGAATCAAAAGGGAAAGAAAAAACGGTGGGGCTTTTATGTTTTTCTGGGGGGGTTGTACGATGTACGCAAGTCATTGTTCTGTGGTTTAATCACAACATCTGTAAGCAGTCAGCAGAGAGCAGCTGATAGCACAACATTTTTCACATTTACTATATGTGTAGCTCCATCAATGATTAGCCAGGAGCTCCTAGAAATCAAAGATCCAAGTACTAATCTAATAGCATCTTTCATTGTTTACACCATAAGCAATCAGATCAAAGCATTCCTCCAATTGTTATCGAAAAGCAATTACATCTTTGCACGGAAAGTATTTGAGATGTTACATGTGTTCAGAGGAGCTCAAAGGCCGCGGGGAAGATAAATGTGATGAGCATGATCACTGGTCTGTTACTACCCAAGTGCATTGACAAGTTCGATGGGAAAGTCACGAGAACTCCAGAGGCCTGTACTACGAAGCCGGAGCGAGCTAACTTCAGGGGAAACTCTGGGTTTCCGGTCCTACGACGCTGGTTCACTTCTTACCGGGCTAGATCTCCATGGTAACTTGTGCTGAATGGCTAACCTGCTCCGGAGCAGGTTAGGTTCCAGGATAAGAGATCAACTCAGTGAAAGCACCGCCTGCTGACCAATCAGAGCTCAGTGTGCGGAGTTTAAAGCGATCAAGTCATATTACAGGATAAAGGAAAAATCAACTGACTGTGTGAATGTGAAAATGAATAGAATATCCCCTCCCATCTTCAGAGCAATCTGACTATTATAACATTAGCGTTAAGAAAGCTTACTTAAATATCTGCCACGACATAAGTAACCGGATCAGAGTAACATTAAGTACAGTCCGCGGCACTGTGAGTGCAGACGTCGATGTGTCCCATTATCATTCATATCATATCACATCATAATGTATCATATATTTCCTTATCTGAGTCAGCTTCTTGAGCCGTATCTGGCCGTGCAACACTCACAGTGTCACATACTGTATGCAGAAGTATTATTTTAAGCAACACATTAAGTTGACGAAACACTCGAGTCAAATGTAATTAAAGTCAGATCCACTCGTGTCTTGGACGGGGCAGTGATTTAATAAACCTGTTAATGTACGCATTCAAACACTTTTTCTTTTACCAGCTGTATTCACCTTGCAGGTGCAGCTATGTGGCTTTTATCCTGGATAAAGTGTTTAAGTCATGGATGTTTAAAGTTTAACTTCTTCATATGTCTAATATTATAGTTGACTTTTCATTCTGGAAGTATGATGCTGCGCTGTCAGTATGCTTCTCTATGTTTGTGATTGGTCACATGTTGCTAACCCCGCCCCTTTTATGTGAACGCGCACATAACTAGATAGGGCACACCGGGCTTGAGTTACCGAGTTGATAACCAGCGTCGTAGGACCGCTTAGCGAGAGCGCGTCTGTTTTGGATTAGGTAAGCCGGGTAACTCAAACACATCCAGGGTATGTTGAACTGGATTCGTAGTACAGGCCTCTGGTGTCTCGGGCATATTGAAGACAGTCATCAAACCACAGCAAATGACTCTGTTATAGACTGGTCTGTTTTGCTTACAGGCAGAACAGAAAAACACTTACATTTGCACATGAGAAAAGAAGAAAAGAAAAAGAAAAGAAAGTCAAGATCACCAAGGAAGATCAAAGTTTTAAGCCTGTCTAAGCTCTAGTGTTGAATTATTTCCACTCCAAATATGCAGCCTTTGAAATATGAATCATGCTTCATAAAACAGCATTATTAAATCAAGTAGGGGCCTGCACAGTAGAACATAAATACGACCTGAGCTCTTCATTGACTCGTGGCGGAGCTTTGAGTAGTCACAACTGCCACTCAAATGCGGTCGTAAAAAAAGCAAAACAAAAGGCTAGGATTTCTTTACAGGAACACACTCTGAGACATTTGCATATCTAACTGCTTTAAGGATGAAATCTATATAGCTTTAGTGTGAGTAGCATGTTAACTGATTGATTGTCGCCCCGGAAAAGATAACCAGTAAGTAAGTCATGACAGACGAGAGCTGGTACCTCTCCTGACCCGGGCTTTGCTGCCGCTGGCGGGGGTGGCGCCCCGTTGAGCTCGCATCTCCTCTTTCCACGAAAGACCATCCAGGAGGAATAAAGCAGCTGGCTAATGAGCAGCACGCTGGCTCATTGTTATGAGTACGCTAATATCCATGAGAGGGAATGCATGTGTTTACACAGATAAGAGAGCAGGCACGCATACGAGAGACAGACTGGGTTTT